TCATTAGTCATTGAAAATGAATAAAATATAATTAAATTTATAAATATTATTTAGGTGGTTTACCAGTTAATGAATTTTTAATTTGAAACAAAAAATTAAAATTATGTAGTTATTCTAAAATTGTTTTATTTACCATATATTGTAACACGCAAAGTCCTATAACTGTTTAAAAAATAGGCATAAGTCAAATTCAAAGAATTATAAACTAATAGGTAGTTTATTGTGGCTAATTATAATAATTGAAACTATAATTATGTTAAGAAATGTGTCAACTATAAATTTTTTAACTAATAATTTTCCAAAACATGATTATGCTTATGATTATTATTAGTATGAAAAGTTTATGTTTACAAATGAACGCATTAAAATTACTAGATTTATGTCGCGAGTCATGCTGACGAAGTGTTCTTAACTATTCGATACTTTTTATCTTCTCATTCATTGAATAAAAATAAGCTTTGGTTTCATTTATTTATGAGCAGGACTGTGAATTATATGCATTTATAAACTTAAGTTAATTTCAATACATAATTTGCCAGTAAACAATTTTATTAATTGACTTGTAAACTTAATTATTTATTTTTTAAGATTTTGTAGTATTGTGAAAATTGGGGGGGTCAATCCTTTTAAAACGAAAAATATTTCTGCGTTACCATATAATCCTACGACAGTTATACAAACTTGGGACCTTCCAAAGAGGCTCAATTACTATTTTATAAATATATATAATCCATAGCCCTGTTTATGAGTTACGAGTAAAATGTTTGAGCGCAATATTTTCAAATAAATAAATAGCATTAAAAAAATAGTACTTATTCATGTATTTTTCAATTTAAATGTTGTGAATTTTTTTTTAAAGGATTATCATTTAAGAAAATAGTTAACTAATTATACACATTTTTTTTCGTTTTAGTTGATGAATACTTAAATTCTCTTTGAATTGTTAACTTTTATACTTTTTTATAGTTAAGTATTTTCTAAATATATTTTATTTATTTTAATTTTTGAATGATCATTTTTTAACTTTATTACAAAAATTTGCATTTTCCTCCAATTTGTATAGATATAACGCCATAAATATTTGAATATTAGATAATATCATTGTTATTTCAAAGCATATAATTATTTTTTAATTAAGTGATAAATTATCTATTAATACTCATTATAGTTTTTAGCTTCGATGCGAAGCTGAGAAGGTATTGGTTTTACTAAGATGTGTTTTTTTTTTTTTTTGTGACTTACCACTTTTTCTCAGCTCTCACCGAACCGATTTCTTTCAACGATACGTTAAAAGATCACAAATCGTATCTAGTCGAAGATAATACCCTCAAAAATTGAAAAAATTTCCCTTGTTCCCCGTAAATGTAAACCTCAAAAAAAAATTACATATTTTAAAATCGCTAATTTTTTCATTTTTTTTTTACTTAAAACTGCCATAAATTTTTTAAAAATGATCAAATCAATATAATTTTTTTTTATAGATGTTTGATGTCTTTACCTATCATTTGATATATTTTTTTTATAATTTTAACTCTACCAGTTTACAGGGGGGGATTCATAATGACAACTTTTTCACAAAAAATTAACTTTTTCAACGGAATTTTTGAAAGTGAAATACTGACATTTTTATATGTATCTTAAATTAAAGCTAATGTAATGTACTTTATTATGGAAAAAAAAAAAATTTCGGACTTTATTTTGTCTCCACGGTGAAAATGGCTACCGAATGCTATTATAGGGTGAAAATTCTCGATTTTGTATTTTACATTTTTTACTTTATAATGCTATAACTTATTGAAAAGTGTATGGATCAGCACAATTTTTTTATGAGAAATAATATTTATATCCCTTTTTCATTTGACATACTTTATCATAATCAGGATATAAATAAGGAAATAGCAGTTCATTTAGTTTTTGGAATAATCTATCAATTTTTTAAAATTCAACACTATCTAAAGATTTGCATCGAAGCGTTTTTTATGATAGTGATTTTAATCATTGTCAGATATCATTATACCCAATCCAACTATGGCACGTCACCACTGAGCCGCGACCTCCCTGTACTGGCTTTTTTTTATATAGATGTATGATGTCTTTAAACTAAAAGCTAATTAGTTTTACAATATGGTAATATTATCCTAAATAAATTTGTGAGGCGTCAACTTTAATTTGGCACAAATAAATATATGGAATATTTCTAGGATTTAGGTGTCTTAATTGTTTTTTTTGTCAATTAAACTCTGATATTGAGAATAATTGATTTATAAAATAGGGAATCAATAACGTAAAACATTTATATAGTTTTCATTGGATTGTCCGATTCTGATAATAGTCACGTGTAAAACTTTTAATAATAATTAATGTTATTGTACTAATAGTGATAATATTTTATTGTCTACGCGTAAAATCAAGTGAAATGATAAGTTAATATAATGCTAAGAAATTGTAGATTGTATTTTTGATCAATAAAAAAAATATAATACTTGTTTTTATTTTTTCTTTAACTCGGGTGTTGCTTTATTATACAAAATGATTTTTTATATGTGATTTAAGCGCACGTTTAACGTACTGAGCTTATAGCAATATCATTAATTAACTACGTCAATGTATATTTAAGTAATACTATATTATTGTATTAATTACCTGTATCATTGTTATTTAACAAGATAATCTTTTGTTATACATGGTAATTTAAATCAGATGTTTTTATCATAGAACTTAGTGTTTAATTATATATTATTGAATGATAAAAATTTAAATGGCTTTTTCATAAAACAAAACTCTACGTGCTACGATTTTGGATTTTTTAATTCTTAAGTGTACATTAATGTATGCAATGTGTGTAAATAATATTAATTAGGAACGATTATTTATGAGATCAAGTCGGTTATATCTTAATATTAGTTTAAGTTAATTTTTTCAATTACATTTTTTAGCATAAAAATTAGTCGGTTAATTATATATTATGCCATACGTTACCTATTATTGTACTAATGTTTCCTTTAGAATAAAAGTATTCAAATAACTTTTGCAGAAAATTAAAAAAAGATAGAATGGCAGAATAGGCAAAATTTGTCACGATATTTAGAAGTTCCAATGAGATTTAAGTATTTACATTAAAATGTAACAGAAATAATTGATTTTGAATGATTTTAGAAGTATGTAATATCGTATAATTCGTGGATCTACCAAAACTCTAAATGATGATAGTCGACCGTTAAAGTCTTTTTTAACTTAGTTTATCTTTTCTTCAGTTTTAAAAATTTGATGTGTCATAATGATTCCAATTACGCACTACCGAGAAATGCTTATAGTTGTTTTCAAATAATATTGATAGAATTTTAAAACCGGATATCAGTAAGATTTAGATATCTGAACCTTACTGAAGATGTGCTGGATTTATGTTCATGTAATGTACTTTGTATATAGACAAGAAGATTCAATATTACCAAACGTAATCGTGTATTAACTGATCATTAATGTACTACTAATTATTATTATTTACTCCATAATCTCAGATAATTACCGATCACAGATTTATATTAATTCTAAATCATAGAAATGTACACAACTAATGGTTCTTTTTTTTATATGAAGACTAACAGTGATGAAATTATTATTATAAATGTTTCCTATAATTCACCTGTCATATTTTATTATTAGGAAGTAAGAAAATTATTTTTAGTTATAATTATGTATTTAAAAATAAAGTTCAAGTTGATCAACATTTCTTTGCGAAACAGTTCTCTATATTAGTGCTTTAATAATATTATTTGTAAATCATATTGGTTTCATGTGATGCATATTAATTCTAATTATATCTTAAACTTTTAATGGTCCCACCCATGATCACAAAACTAAATATACTAGTGATAATAATAATAGATTATTAAATATAGATTATTAGTTATTAAAGATAATAACTAATTATCTTTAATATTTTATGTTTTCTAGAAATTTATTCGAATTCGGAATTCCACGTACCATATTTTGATTTATATAATATTTTTGGTATTGAACGCCCACAGTTGTTTTTATTTTTATTTATAATAAATTGCAATTGTGAAATGCTTTATAATAATGTTAGATGCTTAATAATAAAGGATTTTATACAGATCCGTGTGATCCATAACATACGTCCTCGGTAGTTGTTTAATACATGGCCTACGTTCAAGAATCTATAATTGATTTAAATCATTTAATAATACAATCAATGGTTAATGGCTATAGTCCAAAATAAATCCATATAAAATTAAAAATTGTATTATTTTAATTTTAATGATGTAACAAAACAGGTTAAATGTTTTAAAATATTCATTTTTTTTAGAGCAATACATTTTATATTTTTTTATTATTATTTTTTTTTATCGCTTTATCAGCTCATTAAGGGCCATAGCGGCCTCCCCCAAAGGAAAAGGTTTCTTAACAATTTATACTATATTTTGTATTTTCTTAGAACGTTATAATATAAATTAAAGTAGAAATTATATAGTATAAATTAATTTTTAAGTTAATTTAATATGGCAACATATGTATTTTTCATACGAGTTTTGATAAATAACAATGTTTTTATTTAACAAGTTTGTATATAGCCGTTACGTTAAAAATTTATTTATCAAATGGTCGAAAAAGTTTGAATATATCATATTTTTTTTCTACTGAAAACAAAAAGTAAATATTTATACAAATTTATACTGAACGTCATTCATAGAGCAAGGCTATACAAATTAAATTCAATTAGCTGTCTTGATTAAGTGCAAATAATTAAACAATATATGTAACACTCATTATCAAAGACGCAATTTGAACAAAATTTTTGGGCAGTCCAACTTAATTTCTCCTATTCTTGAAAATACATTATTTTTTATAATTTGGATAGGCCTATGATTTAATCCCTCAGATTGCGTCTATGTTCACTATTATGTTTTTATTTTTAATAGCTTTTCTAACTAATAACCTATAGATACAAATAATAATAATAATACCATGTTATTTTTCAGGTTTAATATCTTTAATGTTGATTGGTGTTGCCGCACTAGTATTGGGTACACTCATAGCCTTATACGATCCACATGCGATGATCCTTAAATGGGTAAGTTTTACATCGTTTATGTAAAATACTGTTATTTTAGTATAATATATAATGGTTTTATTTTTTTTATAATAATCAATATATATTATGCATAAATAATCATAGGATTTTTCAAAAATAAAATAAAATATTAAAATAAAAATAAGTTCCTATAATCAGCGGTGGTTCTAATGTAAAATTAAAAAACGAAAATTTGTTTGTCTACAAAAATTTTATAATCCAATATTTAGCTTCAATATTTTAGAAAATCAATATGTCAAAGCTCTTATTTGTTTTAGTAGTATATTAAATTGCTTAATTAGTAAAACATTAGTTTAATGTATGTTATGAAATAAATTATACATTAAATAAATCTGTTTATAATTTAAATAATAAAATTAAATTGTTCCATAATTTTTAATAATCAAGATAAAGTGACGCACATTAAATATGTTTTTAGTATATTAAAGTAAAAACATGTATTTAACAAGTCCTATTAAATGAAATTTAATGGATTTTATAAAAAAAAAACTGTTTTAAAAAAATCAATAATAATGTTTGTTTAGAATAAAACTCTTGTAATTAGAAAAACAATTTTTTTTTCTGACGTCAAGTAGGGTAAATTTGTTAAACAATTAGCTTGAATTATTTAGAAACGCTTTAACCAGTCAACCTGTTTGTTGTGCAAATTATAGTACAATAAATGTGTATTGTTGTGTATCTACACACGTCATCTTTGGAGGCAACAAGCTCAGGCGCGTAAAAATGTCATTTTTTATTCCAAAATGTGACTTTGCTCATAAATACGGATAGTTATTTTTAATACAATTTATTAATTTTGATAGCTATTTAATGTCTAATATATTATAAACAAATAAAAAACAAAAATAAATTGTCTATGCCTTCCCGTCAAAATCGCCACTATCTTTAATTGACATGAGATTGTGCGTGAAATATTAGTTTGCCTTATTAATGGCACAAAGAATTTATATAGGTGTTCAGTAAGTTAGGAAACGGGTTACTATTGTTCTAATTGTTTGTAACAACTGACCAGTTTCCTTACTAACTGAACACTGTGTTAACTAAGGTTTCCTAGTTAAAGTTAATTTAACACGTAATTCAACGAAAGATTAGGACTAATTTGACATTTTAAGTATGAAATTAGAAGAAACACAAAAGTTATAGTTGGATGGTATTTATTTAATTGAAAAATCAGTTTTGAAATAATACGAAACTAAAGTTATTAATCATTATTTATCCCCCCATCACTATCTTGTCAAAAATATAAATGAGTGTCTGTAGTAGCCTATTTAAGTGATATAGGAATTTGGTTAGTATTGGACATTGTGTTTTGTTAATTAATCATCATTGTAGAACTCTTCTCAAAACTTAACTGGAGTTAAGTTTATTATTAACTATAATTTTAAGATAATTCACCTGTAGAAGTTATCTCTACAATAATATGTGATACCATTACATGGTTTATGATGCTATTGTCATTTATCTTGCCGTTATTCTCTTATTCGTATACTGACGGGCACAATCAGACACGAAATTTGAATAGGAGTTGGTCTTAAAATTTATAATTTACAGGGAAGTTAATGACTCGCAATATTATCATTATTATGCGGCGGAAATGACGGTCTGCTTGTGGACAAATATGTTATTACGTTGAAAAAAACAAAAACAACGTAATGAGTATTTAATATATTTTGCGGCTTCTACGCAAATTTAGTTGTTAACTATTAACGGAACTGATGACCCTGAGTCAAGTAAAGAAAATCCAGACCGTTTTGTGCGGTTATACTTGAAATGATCACTGACCTTGTTTGTCCAGTTTTAATTTAACACGTGTATAAACGAAACAAATGATTATAATAATTAATACAATTTTACTTTTAAATAAGTCATATCGGTCATACTGGAATAGTGATTCACTATAATGACAGTTTCCCACAATGAGTTAACCATGTTGTCGCGTAAATTATCTCTAAAACAAAACAACTGCGGTTAAACGGACATTGAAATCAATCAGATGGTAGTTAACAGGCAGTTATGCGTATCTGGTCATTTCCGTGGGCATATTTAAACCTCTAATGTTTGGATATTTAGGTACCGAGTTTAGGTATTCCCATTAAATCATTTTACAAGTATTTCCTGAGTACGAATGAATATCTGTTTGTTAAATATCGGCATTGATATTTATTATTATATTTTTATAATTACAGAAACTTGTTTTTGCCGATGGTGACGAAGCATTTGAGATGTGGAAGACTCCCGATGCGCCTTTGTATCTTAGAGTATATATATTTAATATAACAAATCACGAAGAGTTTTTGGCCGGAAAAGAGAAGTTAAGATTTAAAGAAGTTGGCCCATATGTCTATAGGTAAGCGAGCTAGATAATTCCTCGTGTTTTTTTTTTTTACTGAACAAAGTAAATTAACTACGGTAATTTTCTAAACATGCCGAGGTATTCTACCATTTGTTTATTTAAATTTAGCTAGTCTATAAAAGATTTCTAAGACTCATCTAAATTTTTATCTTGATTTAAATACTTGTTTATAAGTTTCTGCAACATTCCTTAGAAAAAAACAAGGCATTTAATGTTTAGAACTGCTATACAGGATACCAAGTCAATGGTTATGTTCTATTAGTGTATCAAATTGGCAAGAAAAAATGACGTATATTTATTAATAATGATAATAATTATATACAGATGTAAATAAGTTAATGTGAGAAATCCTAGTTGATGATAATCCATTATAAAGTTTCAGGTCATTCGCCTTGTTGAAATATCATCGTATCATCTTAGTCAATATAACATTCTACGAATTAATCATTGATTAATCATAGACTGACCTCTTATAATATTATTGTATTTTAATTTCGTTTATGTTTTAATTTTACCAGTCAAAATAACAATGTTTTACTTTTATAAAATTATCGCGTATTATAATTAAAATAAACGTTCTTTCTCTTTAATGCGAAAATCAATATTTATACATCAAGTGTTCTAATTTCGCAGCCGTGTTAATTAAATTGTACTAAGTCCAATATTCTTGTTCTGTAAACAAAACATTATACTCTCACTAAATGATATCAGTTACGTTTAAATGTATCGAGCTAAGTTTTATCAAGTTTGACCCTATTTGTCTTTGAAGACCTATGTACCACAGTTTAAGTAGTATAATGAATACAACCGTTTTAATTGTTCACATATCGTTATTATTTGATAATAACGTTATAATCAGATATTGTTTGTAAAACATTAAATTTATTATGATGACCTATTTTATTTATTTTTACTTTTAATTAAATAAGTTACTATGCGCTGACTAGGTGTTCAAACAACAAGGAGTCCTAAAAATGAGAGACTGAATTAAAATGCATTTGTCAATTTTTCTAAAAATATGATGTAAAGAGCTAAAATTTTTTTTTTATCAATGAGAATTCTAAGGAATTTGACTATGTTCAATTTTTTATTAACTTAGGTTGTCATCTATGTAAAATTGTCTAATATATGACTTAGTACGACAATAGAGATTTGCGAATATGTAATTTATGGCCGCAAATTTCTATTGTACTACAAAGAGATACCATTAGCTACATTTTCGTGATTTAAATAAAATATTTTGAATTGATAACACAATAAAATAACTCAAAGGATTAAGAAAAAAAAAATAGTTATATCGTAAATAAATACATACAGAGTATCCCACAATATTCTAAAATTGTAAGAATAATTAAAGTAATGTAAAACATTCTCTGGATCAAAAGTTATTAATGATGTCAGAAAATGGTGGTTCCTGTAATCATTTAATACACTACATTTTTACTATAGCTGCGAGCAATTTTTAACCCAGAAATATGCTCATGATAATAGCTTGAGAGTTATTAAAGATATTAACTTGTCATTATAAAATCATACCGACATAACACATTGTAATGTGTGTTTTTTCAATAACATACAGATATTATTGATGCTTAATATAATATCGTCGACAGTACGCGTAATACTATTATATTTAAAGTACTCTAATACACATTAAATGTCAATTTAATTACCAGATTTTGTTTATAAATATATTAAACGCTTAGATAGATGACTTTAATGTTGGGATAAATGGGTAGTAAATAACTCTTATATTCATGTCACATGTTAATGATATGACAAAAGAAAAAAACCTAATGATCACAAAAAAACCTCACCCAGTCTAATCCTAGTTTATTATTATTTAAAATGCTTATAATAACACTAATATTTGTATTAAACATAATTATTAAATTTGTATGATTTGAGTGACGCATTGGTTGTTTAATACATGTTTTACAAATATGTCTGGTGTAAGCGCTCTTTTAATAATAAGGCTTGGATTAAACGGACGGTGAGTTGCAATATTTTAGGGAGGTAAAATGTTGACAGGTTATCTACAACAAATTTTTTGAATTTAAATCTCCAAGAGTTTTTGTGATATTTCGTTGCAGTGCTTTTTCTTTTTCTTCCACCTTATAACTATTAACTCCTATATAATTACAATATCAAACGAGCTGTAATAATCCAATTTTTGGATTATCTTATGCCTTTTATTTTTAACTATAATTACTCGAGAGTATATTGTACTCTCTATATAATACAAAGATGGACTAGTTAATAGAAATAATTAAATCAAAAAGTTAAAAGCTTACAAATTATAAACTTGACTATTTAAGTTAAAAGTTAAATTAAACAAATTATAACTCAGTTAAAAAATAGTTTATTTACTTTTTAAATCAGTTTTAGGTCCTCATCAAATTTGATATTTTTTTCTTTCTGATTTCCTAAATGATGAGCAAAACTATACTATTGTTATTTTATCCGTTACAACATTTTAATACATAGAGTGGGTATACAGTGCGGGCGGAGTGTACATACAACAGTACGAGCTGTACTTACTTGCGTCACATACTTACCTACCTATTAAAAGGATGTTATGGATGAACGATTAACGGTTAAAAAAATTGTAATATATAATATTATCATGTTAAAAATAGTAATTCCCATTATTAATTACAAATTAAATAAAATTGATGGTTCATTAGTATAAATCTTATTTACCATAAATGATTGCTTACTAACTTGTATTATTTACTTATAACATACTTAATTTAAAAATTTCAGTAAAAGTAGATAAGTACTTATATAATACATAAATCATCTGTAGCTGATCAGTTACATTTTCATCAATCAACATTATTATAACTTGGCATATGTTTTCCAAAAATCTATCTGTAATACATTTTTTAAAATTTAACATTATACATTATTTTGACTAAAAACTATTTATTTATTAAGGTAAAAATTTAAAAAAAATTCACATATTTTTTCCATTTTTATTTAGAAAAAAATTTCCCTCATATTCCGAGTTATTTTATTTTATTTAATAGTATAATTATTTAGTTTAAATTATCGTTAGATCACGTTTCTTTTGGATTTTGGTCGATCTAATAACCTATAGTTTTTGTGACCCATTTACCCGAGTGATAATTAACTTTACATTGCATGATAGGCTTTAAAAATTAAAGCCTGTTGATGTGCGTTGTTTTGTATAATAATTGATAGGTAGGGTTTTTTTTATTTTAAACAGTTTTTGAACAAAGAAGTATCTGAATTATAATTGTATGGTTAAAAATACCCAAATATTAATATTACTTTTTAAAACCTAGTAAAATATAATCCGATTCTTTGAAGTGTGTAGAATTTAAACTTGAAAATCATTCAAATGTTAACAAAAATTGTTTTCTGTTAGTTATCTGATAAATCTTTTAATTGATAATAAATAGGATATGTATAATGATAAAAATTTGCATTAAAACATTTTTCCTTGTAGTGCATCCCAATATTAACGACATATAATGGCTAGTTTAAAGGATATAAAAAAAAAAAATTAAAAAAATGGCTAGTTAAATTAATATAAAAATAATTTAATAACGAGCCATTAAAATAATTGAGTATAATCAGTAACGAATAAATATTTAATAACTATTGGGTGTAATTCGTTTTACCTAATACGAGATAAATTGCTTATCACGAACTATTCAAATACACTCATAATTATAGTAACTTTGTACACTTTTATATATGTCTCCATCAATGTTCTTTCAGACAATTTTCTCCGGGGAAGGGGGTCATTTATATTAAATAAAAAAAAAATAAACTTTTTGGTTAAAATTACCATTGTCTGTTATTATAATTGCGAAAAATATAATTAAATACACAAATTTCACAAAAAATGACCATGCAGACATTTAAATAATAATTTACTGTTGTCTTTATCTTTTTCGATTAAGTCACAGAATAGTAAACATTGTGTACAAATATAATAATAATTCAATAAATTTATTTCTAGCTGTTTATCATTTTTATTACCAAATTAACAACTGATTAAAAAACTAACAAATACAAATTAATAATTAATATTGAGCTCACTCTACCGTCTCTAGCGATTACAGGCCAATCTCTGTGATATTAAAACTAATTCCTAATATTTGTTATTTCTTTAATATTCTTTAAATTTTCTCCGTGGAACTCAACCTCTCGGAGAAATATTTGAAAGATTCACTGGTGTCTTTGTATTAACCGTTATATTAGTATATTATTGTGATGTTATACCTGCTTGCTAACATTGACACTAGTTGGGACTGAGAATATAGCTTCTCCACACTAATGGAATTATATTCCCCATAAATTGAGAAACTTATTATTATATAGATAACATTTTTAAAGTGGGGGAACATTAAATTAAGCTCCCTAATAGTTATAATATAGAGTTCTTTGCTTATCATCTTAATTTTTTAAATCGCAGTTTATACAACCATAGCATGTTCAATTAAGAAAATAACTGGTTTATAACAACTTTTGAGTTATTAATTCAAAAGACATTAATATTTTTATAGCTTGTTAGTCGGAGAAACGTTTTTGAGACATGGCTTATTATAAAAAATAGTTGTTATACGTGGCTCACCTCCAGTCAATATTTTTAAGTTTTGATTACTTCCGTAAGACCTACTAATTCATAAAATAAATACTACCGACCAGTTATCTTATCATAATAAAATAATTTTTAAGACAACTGTAATTAAGTTTTTAATATTTTTGTTATTAAATTCTACAAAATATAAAACCACTTTTATTTTTTAACTTGTAAATTTCACAAGCTAATTAAATCCGTTAAAGTAATTAAAGATTGCGGTATCTGATGGTCAAGTTTAAAAAATTTCAATATTTTTGTTACTTGTAGTTTTATTTTATAGCCGTTAAACTAAGATTATTACTATTTTTTTAATTTTTCTATAATTCTATAGAATTATAGAATTATTCTATAACTTATAAAGGAAATATATCATTTATTACTATACTGGAAAAAAAACTTTTATTCGTTTCCGCATTGAATTAAAGTATTTATTTTTGAGTTTAGACTGTGTATGATAAAAAATAATAAAATTAAGTACAGTATTATTTTTCAAATTTAATAATAGGATTTATCATAATATCTCAAGGTAAAACTTGTTATTTTACAAACATTTTATTAGTATGTTAGAAATACATGTTTAGTATTCCAAATATTTTTTGTAAACTGTATTTTGAATACTTGTTAAATACTTTACATCAATATAAAAAAAAAATGTTTCGTTTCACAATTTATATTTATCATAGATTATCATTTGTAGGCCACTATCAAAATCACCTGATTATTTTATGCTAATTAACAAATGATATTTTGGAAAAATACGTTTGATAGTTAAAAATATTTTTTAGTTTAATCATTACAAAAAGATTGTTTTGATTTGTTGATGAAATATTATTTATTTTACAATAAAAAATAAAAAAATAAACACTACAGAAACAATACTGAAATTAAGAAATTTATTTTAATAAATAAAGTACAAATAAATTTATAATGAAAGAGCTTCCCTCAAAAAAAAAAAAATTAAAAATTTACTACCCTACACTTGAAATAAAAAAAAGTATTTATATATGTGTTTAAATACTTTTTAAAAAATGTATTCAAATGTTTAAAATACGTATAGACCTATTTTGAATATATTTTCTCTGTAGTTTTCGAAATACAAATTTTGAGTATTCTTTACAAGTATAATTAGGAGGAATAATTCGTATTTTTAATTTATGGTTTTAAATAGTTGATTGTTGTTTGCTAACTCAAAACATTTTTTAAAATTAATAGTTTTGATAGAAATATTTCTATAAGTAATACGTTAACATCAATACGATTAGTATTTCCAAGATTAGATATCTAAGGATATCTAAAACACAAATTGACATCTTAAAGAAGTATCTATAAATATACTTTTCAGCAATGAAACATTGCGATTTAATACAGAAATTTTAAAATAAATAAATTTTTTTGACTTATTAATTTTTTATATGTAAATGTAAAAGGTTCACGTTTCAGTATTAATAATATTAAATGTATGTTTGATGGATTTTTTTAGGGAAAATATGGCTCACAAAAATCCAATCTTTAATAGTAATGGCACAATAACGGTAACGCCAGTACATCCTTTGACTTGGATTCCTGAACTAAACACAGGCAAAGAAGATGATGTCCTCATATTACCAAATATTGCTCTACTGGTGAGTTTTTTTTTTTGTTAATTGAATTGAATTTGTTTATATATTTTTTTTTTTGCATTCCTATCAAATCTTGAAATTGACGTCATAGATATCAATTTTTTTTTAGAAATAATTTAATATGGTAATGGTTTTACAAGTGTTAATTTATGTACAATTTGCATTTATTATGAATTCATATACTCCAAAATTTTTATTTTGAAATAAATTAGTTTTATGGTTAATTTTTTATTGAATAAAAGTTGAGTAATGTGTGGAAAATAAAGTTTTGTTAATAAATCTAGCGTCACTCTGTGTTTAACAAAACATAAATTGGGAGACTTAATAGTTTAGACATCATCAAAACTCCAAAGTATTTACATGCTTTTATTTCACGAACATAACGTGCTACAGAGGGTGGTGGCTTTCTTTCACATGTAAGGGAGTCAAAGATGGATCTTGGCTAGGCCAATGATGGGCGGGACGGGTACTGTGGCCTGCTTGTACCAGAGACTAGATACCACCAATGAAAAAATCACATGAAAAATCGCGTTACCACCATGGGGATTGAACCCGGGACCCTGTGCGCCGAAACATATGTTTCTACCCACTAGGCCAACTCAACCGAGCAAATTACTAATAATAAAAAAAATATTCTACAACAATATATAAACAACGATTATTCATATAATGCTTAATATAAATAATCGATATCTACTTCAACAAATTTTGTTTTTGTTATGTCATCTTGTTGATTAAAAGACCTATTTAATTTAATTAGTACATATAATAATGTCTTAATGAATTATAGTATTATTAGTAATTCCCCTATAATAGGCTTTCAAATTGGTAATACAAGTTAATATGCATGCAGTTAGTTGCTAAAATAATACAACTTAAGAACATAATCTTGTATTATTTAGAATAAACTATTAAATAAATTTATTTAATGTATCTCGATGAAATTTTTACGGTCTATAAATCAAACGTAATTATAAAAATATTTGAAAATTTATTTTGAATCTTATAATAATTTGATTTTCAAACATTAAATTGTAAAAAATTACAAACAAATATGTGAATTGTTTTACTATAAAATGTCTAACTATTGTAACATTTTGATAATAGAGTTTAGCTAATGTAATGTCCGATGCCTCGATAATAACCAGAATGGGTGTAAACATGTTGATCCATCAAACTAATTCCCAGCCGTTTGTGAAACAAACTGCTAAAGAATTTATGTTTGGATACGAGAGTCCATTAGTTACTCTGGGTAACAAATTTATGCCATCGTGGATATCATTTGATAAATTGGGACTCATCGATAGGGTAAGTAGTGGTTGCATTATTTTAAATATTAATTTTGATTGAGTCCATTGTAAACACAAACCAAAATAATAGTTTTTAGAAAGTGTTAAAAATATTAACATAAAAAGTATATTATTTTATTATTTTTTTCCATATTGTCATATCTTGTCATTCCTGTTTTTATACATCATAAAGAAATAGAATAAGTTATCAGTATAATCAGTTTAAATAAAATAATATGTAATTAAAAATAGATATATCTTAATTTATGTCGTATTATTTTGAGCATATTGTGAAACAGTCTACTTAATATGAACTCAACTAACCTCGAACTACCACTCACGCCAATTTAGACCATGTAGTGTGTTGTTTTTTTATAAAATGAATGCATAGCTATAGGCAATATCAACAAGGAACTTATATCAAATGTTTTTAGTAGAATATTCGAGAATAAAACGTTATTCATAATTTATTTTCAATAAACACTCATTTGTTTTTTCTATAAACTATATTTTTATATCAACAGTTATAATATATTATTTGTCCGTAAAAAAATATTTGATTAGTGTAAAAATAACCGGTTTTTAAATAAAAAACGGAATGAGGTTTACTAGAAAATGAAGGGTTCTCAAGGGCAAGTCTATTATATTTATGTCGCAACCATTACAAAGGCATAATAACATATTACCTGCTACTGTATAATTTTTGTATTTTTCATGCATTTCTTGTAAGTTAAAAATAATTAAAATTATTTTATCTGGTTTTTATTTGCCTACGCACTAAGTTGAAGGTCCCTCAAGCGTTTAAAAAAGAAAATAACTCTGAGATTTACAACTCTAACACAACGGTCTACATATTATCCGCATGTAATCTACATATATGACCTTATGTTGAGGCGATTTCTTAGGGGGTTGTAGGTTATCAATCAACCCCCACACCAAACATTTATTACAGTTATCCGTGGTCGTTGTTTTTAGCATATATTGTAAACTTTTTTTACTTATTGAGGTAATTTAGTTGGTAAATTTATCACCTACAGTTGGCAAAATTCACATCCACACCCCTCTAAAAATTATCAATTTATAACTTTTAAAGCAGATTGGTTTAAACATTTTTGAAAAATTCTTCTAAAACGATTAAACTTGATGTATATATATACACTTGATATATATATATATATATGTGTGTGTGTGTGTGTGTGTGTGGTACAGCAGTGGCGGCTCGTGGCTTGGGCGACGGGACGATCGCACACTCTACTAAAATTAATTAAAAGCAGAAAATCAATTGTACATTTTTATTAAAAATGAACATCTTTAAATAGTAAAATAGTTAGAATACATTTGTCGTGTGCTAACATTAGAGTTGTTTCCCTCAGTATGTGTGGGTACTACATGTATACACACGAGCAGTGTTTGGACGACCGGCACCGTCCAAACAATATGTCCGAACAAAATGCAGAAACGTATATTATTAGCGAACACAACAATCGTGTCCGCGCGGGGACGGTTCAGTTGCGATCTTATGTACAGGTTTTGTACGACCGGCAACGTCGTCCATACGGTAAAATATTAGTGTACTACTAAATTGGGTGATTTATTTTTAGGATTAACTGCTTATCGTTACGGTTGTTATAATAGTTTAATCGCTATTATTATTATTATTTTCATATCTATTTTCTGCTGCGACCTTTAAAATAATAATATGTTTGGTGTTTTATTTCATTGTATTTAATTTGACAATTTTTTATACCTACGACTAGCGGTATTATATTTATAGTCCCACCACCAACCCCCACGAGACACCTCCGAGGTACAGTGTCTAAAACCGGTGCATTCGCCCTTATCGTTATACTCTTGTGAATAATATATTTATATGAATATATCGTAGTGTCATATTATTTACATTTTGTTTAAAAAAAAAAAATCATCAATTCTTTTCTACGGAAGCGAAAATAATTTTGTTAATTAACTCTATACAGATGTACGAATTCACTGGCGATACTGCAACATTTTATTCTGGCCGTGACGATGTTGCCAAATCTGGTCTCATAGAAAACTACAACACGAAGCCTTATTTACCTCAATGGCCAATGCATTGTGGCGCTGTGTCTGGCGCTTCCGACGGTACGAAATTCCCGTCGTTGATGAAACCAGATTCGCCGGCGTCTTTCTTCAGAAAATCATTATGCAGATCTATACCGATGGTAAATGTCAAATTATAACCTTTGATAACGTAGCCTACATTAAGTATTAATTTGAGAACGTTTTGTTCTGAAAAATTCACCCCATTAACATTAAAGGGACGTAAAAATGTATGTGAGGTTTCCCATCAAATACTGAATTTATAAGCAAAGATAACATTTTTTTTTTATTAGAAAAAACTAATCCCATAGACTTTGTTTACATTGCAAATTATATCGCTGACCTTAATTAACATTAAAAATTACCAGTGTATGGTTCGTAAATTGATTTTAAGTAAACGATTATATTTTCAACATATACGATGTGATTCACTAACCATTTAATTATTCCAAAAATTAATTTAGAATTGAGAATTTTTTACTTAAATTTCTTTGATGACGTGATTTTTTTAACTAATCAATCATAAAATATAATTTGTCTTATAAGGGTAGCAGTTAATTAATTACTAACAATTTAAAATAAAAACAAGAGGTAAGGCGCAGGTGTTATTATCTTCGTCCGCGTTCTTGCCTAAATATAAAAATGTTAATAACTTCCGAAATACTGGTTCAAAAGTTTTTATCATTCGTGTTAATTATAACAATAATAATAAGTAAGCTAAGACAATTTAGTTAAGCATAATAAGTAAATTAGTTAATTAGATATGTTCTCATTTAAAATAATTAAGTTACCACGCTTATAAGACATAAGAGATGAACATAAAAAGTATTTCATCATTGATAAATTGAGAAATTCATGTCCTAAAAGAGAATTTAAAAAGTAAATTTTCAATTTTATTTATAATGATTATATTTATATTAATAATAATGTTTTAAATAGTATTGGTTTGTTATCTTCTTAGCACATAGTGCGAACGGTTATTTTTGCCTGTTTTCGATTTTAAAATTGATTTTACTCAATAATTTCAATTAATTTTGAGAATTTTTTTTATAGGTACGAGTTTCTAATTTGACGTACCACGACGGCTTACCGATCTATAAATATATTTTTAAAAACGGTTCTTTGGACAATGGACATGATAATCCGGAAAACAAATGTTTTTGCCGAAAAAATAAATGTCTACCATCTGGTGTTATAGACGTAACTGAATGTTATTATGGTAAGTTAAACAAAGTAATTATACATTTTTGTACCATTAAAACTTTGCGTATTATAATAGGATATATATATATATATATATATATAGATTATGTATTAATATTATTCCCGGAATTTATTATCTGCATTTTAATTCTAGGTTTCCCAATTGCTCTTTCTTATCCTCATTTTCTCCAATCTGATCCAGCCTTGTTGGAAGCGATAGATGGTTTAAAACCTGACAAGGAGGTACACGAAACATATTTCCTCATCAATCCAGTAAGTGGACTTAAAGCGTCAGAATCAGAACACTCTGTAAAGATGCTGTTCACTAACAACTTTGCTTATAATCGTATGTATAATTTTCAGTTGACCGGTTTACCCACGCAATTATACGTTAAAATGCAAATCAATTTGGCTTTTGGAGACCTGTCATCAATGGCCAACGTGGAAATGTGCAGTAACTTAATACTTCCATTAGTGTGGACAGAAATCGTAAGTGTATGATTAATCAATTAAAAAATACCGGCGTATTTAGAATATCCTTGAGCTGAGACCATTGTTTCTGCTATGGAAGACACGCTAATAGTTAATTTTCGTTAAAAATTCCTTAAAAGTGATGAATAAAAAAAAAACTTTTTTTTGGAAACATATAACGTATAGTTGGATAGTACTCGGGCAGGGTTGTATATGACTCCCTTAAATACGACCCTATTGAATAATATTTTACTATTACGTTTAATGTTCATAAAAAGTATTACGACTGTTACGTTCCCGTGTTAAAATGTTCTTCTACTTTATGTTTGTTGCGCAGGGTTTCGACAAATTACCCGACAATATGCTACTCAAGTTCTTCATTTATCTACGCGTGGGGCCCATTGTGTTTGACGTGCTCGAGTACGGTCTGTTGATTGGCGGCGTGGCTTTCATTGCCTTCGCCGTTTTCGCTTCGTTGTTCATTCCTGAAGAAGACGACCTCGCGAAGTATGCGCAAGAGGCAGCGTGGCGCCGAAAGAGCGAAACGCTAACCGGAGTCATCACACAACACAGTGGGGAAACGACAGTGACCAGGAGAGCGTCGGCCGGAAACGCAATGAAGGAAATGAACACTTACTACAACTCGCTGTTGGATCCGGAAGAAACCCAAAAACTGAACTCTTCCCTGTGCCAACGATTGGACGTGGTCAGGGAAACGGCGATGACCAACGGCGGTTGCACGGATTTGGAGAGCGAAGAAGATTGAAGCCAATTGATAAACGAAAAAAACATCATAATAGTGAGAAGGATAAAATCAAAAAGTTTTTTAGACTTTTTTTGTCGACGCACTTTTTATTCGTTTATTTATTTTTGACTTAACGGTTTGATATTTGTGCCGTGTCCCGATTGTCCTGAATCGTCACACCAGCCATTCCTGACTATTTGACATAATGTCAATATTATACTAATCCATATTGTGATACAACTATTTTATACGCATATTGCTCCTAGACTTTTATTTTTTCATGTTATTTATTAGCCGATTTTAACGTAGGCCGCTAAATACTTATTGTTTTATTTTATTGATAAATTTATGTTGTATTTATACGTATGATTAATTGAATATGTATTCGAATATCGACCGTATTTATATGCAAATTTTATTTATTTTTTTAGTTATTTATCTCTCGTGTTTTTTACTATTTTATGATCATTGCAATATTTTTGTACGTGTATCGTTTAGTAGATGTATTTCACTTGTATAAAAATTTAAGAAAACCTAAATGTTTTTCTATTTACATACAAAAGAATATTACGTAGATATAATCTAATGTTATTGTTCGAATCTATATTTATTATCTATATTAGTTACCTTTGTGCCTGATAATAATTACTTAGACCTTAATTTGTCTCTAGAAGGCTGTTCTATAGTTTTTAAGTTTTGCATATTATAAATATATTTTAATAATAATTGTTTTTTAGAAGATCAAAAAATTACAATTACAATTTTTTATAATAAATTAAAACTCAATTTTTTCCTTTAAATTGTTCAATTTTATTTATTAGAGAATTCATAAAATATTCTGTGTACTTTTTTTGTAGTCAAATGATCTATTATTACCGCGTGTCATTGATTTATGTGCACTTAATCGCTAGTATCATTGATTTTACACGTGTTTTTTTATTGAATTTATATGAACGTGTTGACAGTAAACATAATTTCTATTATTTTATTCTAAATCAGTTATCTCAACTACTTGAGGTGATCGGCCACCATAATCCTAAAATTCCACTTGACACGATCTCCCACGTCAGATATCCTCATATCGCATTCAATAACATCTCTTCATTTCTTTTTTTGGTATTCATCTACCTCTTATTTCTTTAACATTCATTCTATAACTGTTCTTACACTTCCGATTCCTCTCTCCTCGTAACAAGACTAAACAATCTAAGTCTATTTTCTCTCATCTTATCCACGATTAACGCTATACCTTTATTCCCTATTATATGTTCGTTCCTTATCCTATCTTCTCCAGTCACTCCACTCATCCACCTAATTATTCTCCTCTCTACAACACGCATTCTCTGGCTTATTCTCTTGTCAACTAGCCAACACTCTGAAACTGTGCATCATAACTGGTCTCACTACAGTCTTATAGAACTCGCCTTTCAAACTCATTGTAATTATTTTATCGCATAGTACACCAGACGCTTCTTTCTACTTCTCCCACACGTTCTTAATCCTGTATCTTGCATTCTCGTCAATACTACCATTATTTTAAACAAATTATCCTAAATACTTAAAACTTTCCTACTCTCCTATCACGTCAGCGCTTATTGTCACTAATCTCCTCGTGTTCTCCTTTGTCAAACTCGTACTCTATATACTTTGTCTTACTTCTACTTATTCTTAATCCTTTTCCTTCAAGAGCTGATATCCATACCTCTAGTCTTTGACTAATTTCATCCCTATTTTCTTTTATTAACACTATATCGTCAGTGAACAATATACACCACGGTACCCCTCTTCTTGTATTTCTTTAGTTATTTCATCCATCACTATAGAAAATAAGTAAGGGCTTAGAGCAGAATTTTGGTGCACTCCTACTATTACCAAAAAATTTTTTATTACTTCGCACACATCTTTACCCTAGTACAAGTGTCATCATACACATCTTCTATTATAATAATGTACTTTTTCAAGACTCCTTTTCTCATTAATACCCACTTAAAAACCTCTCTCGGTACTTTACACACGCTTTCTTCAAATTTATAAGTACCATATACAGATTTTTCTTCCTTTCCTTATACTTTTCTATTAATTGTCTCACACTAAATAATGGCTTCATTGTTGCATTAATATATATTATCAGTTTAATTATAATGTATTATATTAAGTCAATTAAAACAATATTTAATGCTAATTAATGCATATAATTATATTAACTGTGGATAACATGGTTACAAGGCCACAAACTTGAAAATTATTGACACTATCTCTTAGTCGTACACTGGTTTATTTTTATGTGTGTTAAAACATAGCTTCGAGCAAATTTTTGAGATCTAAATTGTTACACAATAGTTATGCACACAAACATTTCCATTGAGCTAATGAATGACTGATAATTAACGGTCAATAGTTTTTCGCTAAATATTACCTTTAAAATTATTTAATCTTTAATTATTTATCTCTTTACGATTTTTAATTTTTATTTATTGTAGAATAATATATTTTATAATAAATTATTCAATGCATTTATCAAATCGGTAGTTTAAAGATGATGAAGAATAATTTTAAAAAATTGGTGTATTATTCCAAAAGCTACATGATCTGCTAGTTCCTTATTAATATCCTGATTAAGATAAAGTATGTCAAATGACAAAGGGATTATTAAAAAATATTATTTCTCATAAAAAAATTGTGTTGATCTATACACTTTTCAATAAGTCATAGCATATAAAGTTAAAAATATAAAAAATAAAATCGAGAATTTTCACACGAAAATAGCATTCGGTAGCTATTTTCACCATGAAGACAAGTCCAGAGTTCACATTTTTTTTTTCAAATTAAAGTATATTACATAAGCTTTAATTTAAGATATATATAAAAGTGTCAGACCTTCCGGAACATTTTTAAAAGTTAAGCTGAAAAAATTAATTTTTTGTGAAAAAGTTGTCATTTTAAATCCCCTCCTGTGGGCAGATAAAGAGTCAGATTTACAATAAAAATATACCAAATAATAAGTAAAGACATCAAGCATCTATATAAAAAAAAATTATATTAATATGTTCATTTTTGAAAAAGTACGGCCGTTTTTAGTAAAAAAAATTGAAAAAATTTCGAAAATTAGTGATTTTTAAATTTGTAATTTTTTTGGAGGTTTCCACCATTTACGGGGAACGAGGGAAAATTTTTTTCAATTTTTGAGGGTAATGTCTTCGACTAGATACGATTTGTGATCTTTTGACGTATCGTTGAAAGAAATCTGTTCGGTGAGAGCTGAGAAAAAGTGGTAACAGAAAAAAAAAAAAAAAAAACACATCATAGTAAAACCAATACCTTCTTAGCTTAGCATCGAAGCTAAAAAATTATACATAAAATATGTTCAAAATATAGCTGTGATATATTAAAATATAATGTAGTATTTATTTATGGCCAAAATTAAGTCAGTGACAGGTCTATAACTTACCTAAGAACGTCTCAGTTTCTATAGAAAGGGAGTGTTCTTTATTTTTTTTGCTGGGAAATTCTACAAAATAGTCTCAAAACAGACATTAAAAGTTTATACAACATCTGTATACATTATTGGTAGACACTTTCCAATTATTGTTTAAGTGTATTATTGAACTGTTCTAAGACTTGCATGGGACAGTCTCTGTATTATTAGGGATATTTTAAGATTCAATGTGAAGCTAAAAAGGTGTTAATTTTACTATACGTTTTTTTTGCTCATGATTGTGGCCAATATATTAAACATTACACCGGACAAATTTTTTTCAACGATTCGTCAAAAAATCACAGATCCGTCAAGTTGAAGACATTACCCTTGAAATTTAAAATTATTTTTACATTAGAACGGCTCGCTAAAAATGTTAATGTATATGACGCTTAGCGAAAATTTTAAATTACTTTATATATATAAATTTATATAGTTATTAATTTAATTAAATAATTTAAACACATTGCAAAATATGACATTAAATACTATTACTCACACATTCTTAATTTTACTTATAATAAAAACTAACACGAGCTAAAAACATTTAACGATACAAGTAATATTTTTGACTTGTTAAGTTCATAAACATTATTTAAAACAAAAATTATTTTCCAAATAACACCAAATTATTTATTACATCCACATATTATAATGTTAATTATATATTAAAATCATACACGAGGTCAAAGTTTAGTGATACCATTTTTTTCTTCTAATAATTGAAAAATTAATTTATATTTTTCGTTTTATTGTAAAGCTGCAGGAGAACTGATTTCACTAAATATTTTAGGTTTTCATTTTTATGTTTCTATTTAAAAAACTAAACATGATAAAATTTAAATTAAGAAGAAGATGATATGATTCTGTTAATATTACATTATTATTATATTTTTTTGTGTTAATTTAATCGTGTAAAATATTTTACTCATGTATTAGTATTTACTAATTACTTCTAAAAATAAAAAATTATATTTTATATTATACTTTTTGCGCGAGACAGATGACGAGTCGTCTGTATATTGGTAAATAAATTTACCGTCGTGAAAAAATTGAAATTTTATGTAAAATTTTAAACTAACTGGTTATAAAAATGTAATTTACTTGCTTATAGTAAAGTAAAAAATAGCGATTTTTGCAAATGTTGCATGTTTTTTACAATTTGTTTTTTTTTCAAAACCTACCTGAACAAATAATAAAGAAATATTTTTATAGAACAAATTATGTCTATATGTTTTTATAAAAATACTTACGACAATTTTCTAGCAAAAAATTATTTTGTGTGTAGTAAAGTTTCTACGTTTTATCTATATTACAATACAAATTAATAACCATTATTAAAAAAAAAATCGAATTTGGTAATTACGATGAAATCAATATTGAGTGTAATCATTTTTCTTACAATTTACTGCAAATTTTCATTCACTACATCCAACGTATTCAATGAAAACCTACTGGATACAATGCAAATCAAGGCATATAAATATTATTACTTATTATCATATTATGTACGTGGATCCATTGGCCTAGATCATGGATCACATATAGCAAGAGATATGAGGAAATCCTTGACATGTATCAATAATTTTATGGAAAAATACAACATAAATGATTCGATAATAAAAGAAGAATTATATTTTTTTATTCAAAAATTAAATATGCACAATGATTTTGGATTATATCCTCATTTTGATGGATTGAAACTTAGACTTAAAAAATATTTTGTTGACAATGTAGATTATTTTACAAAAACTGATTACAAAGAAAAAAAAAGATTTAGATGATGCAATAGAAAATCATTCATTTTTCGAAAACGTAAAAAGTAGTGAACTTCAAAATTTGTTAAATGATCCTTCGACAATGACAAAGTACAATTTTAGGGATGCTGCGAAGATTGTTGCAAAGGACATAGCTAAAGAGTTCCAGTGTTAAATGAATAGCCTTAAACATAATAATTTGATTCATATAACTACTAATGATTTTTATTTTTATTACAAGAAATTGACTTATCTTCACATAAATACATTTTGTAATTGTCAGTTAAGTGAAATATACTAATTTTTTTTGTTTAAATATCTAAAATGAAAAATCTATGTTATTTTTGTCAGGTAAACATTTTTAAAATTATACAATAAAGAATGAAATTTGTCGTTATTTGATTAATTTTATTTCTCACCTTTTTCGAGTTCTTCTTACATTTATATCTAATATACAGTGGCGTATTTTGGGGGGGTGTCCTCCATTTCTGGACACCCCCCGACTTAAAAAAAAAAATGCATAACATATTGGTATTACCTTTTTTTTATAATATACTATAAAATAAATGGTATTTTAAATAAATAACAAAATTTAAGATAATTTGATAGGATTCGACGACACGTATTTATCTACATTTTATCAGATTCTAGAGATATCTAGAAATTATTTGAATTTCACTGGGTCATAAAGATAACAAAAATACACGCAGGAAAAATATAATAACAACGGAAATATTCTGAACTTGTAGCTTATTTTGAAATCTATTTCATATAGTTTATCAGTTTAGAGAATTATACATTTGAATAATACTATTATTTGACATTCATTTTTTCGTCGACCGTCGAGCATACAGCTATAACGTGCCATAAAGTAAGTACTAAGTACCTACCTATTTATTCAAATAAAATAAATAATTAATTATATATATATAATATTATATATATTATTATATATATTATAATATATATTAAATATCATATTAATATGAACCAAACATAGGAATTTTATTAAAAATTACGAATAAATAACGAATAAATATGTAATAATCTATTATACAATTTTAATTTTATTTAAATATTTTAAAATAATATTTTAATTTTTATTATATCTTAACTAAGTTATTACGCGTTACAAAAAAAAGTAAATTTAACAAGTCATTTATAACTGAGTTTGTAAAAGTTTATTTTATAATTTTGATCAGTATTATGCTTCAGTTAGCTATTCCAAAAAAATATTAATACATAAATAATATTTAAGGAAACTAGTAATTTTTACTTGTTTCCTTTTACCCGTGCTGTCCATTTATACATTATACTAGCGATATAGTCTTTGAAATTGAGCCTCCCCTTAAAAAATACATATCAACTACTAATATGATTAATAAACTATTAGAATAAGAGTAAGTAATTATATTAAAATATAATATTTTGTCACTGAATAGAAAAATTCGTGTTTTGTCGATATTGCAATCTACGTTCTCTATAAATTATATAGATATAAAATATTTGGCTAGTTTTACAGATATCCGGCAGTCACTACGACGATGGCAGTTAGAGTAAAAATGCCGCACTGCCGCCCGAGTGTTTCAATCATATTATGTAATATTATGACTGGGTGTAGCTGAGGGAGCCAAGGTAAATTTATAATAAACTTAATAAACTTGTATATAACTCTACAAAATGGTTCTTTAAGAATTTTCGAAAAAATAAAAAATTGAACGTTTTTGAATTTTGTTTAATTATTATAGTTTGCGATAATTAAGGAAAAAAGTGTTGTAAAATTATCAAAAATGGCACAAAAAAAGCAAGGATCAATTACTTCCTTTTTTAAGTTAACACCTACTACCTCATAATTTAATTGAACTCATAACAACAATACTCTTATGAAAACGAGCATCTTCGCCAGTTAACTCGATTGACTCTGCTAAAATTTGTCGCACTTTAAGTTTAGATACAAAAGACTCAAATAATATTTCTTTTACTGAGGACACAAACTATAGTAATAATTATGATATTGAATTTTATATTAACCGTAAGTTATCGAACGAAGATATCTTAATTGTTATGACGAAAATTTGGATGCCAAATATATCATTCAAATTCCCACAAAGACTATATACAGTTCAAAATAAACCAAAATACTTAAAGTTCCAGTATTCATGGCTATTAAGATTCCCTTGGTTGGTATACTCGATAAAAGAAAATGGTGCATTTTGTCGAATCTGTGTAGCTTTTTCCAAATCGAATGAAAATAACGGACATATCTTAGGTGCATTAGTAAAAAAAAAATATGATAATTGGAGAAATGCTATTGTTGATTTCAAAGAACATTCTAACAAGGGTTACCATGAAACGTGTGTGTTAAGTTCAGATAATTTCATGGATGTTGTAAAACATCCTGAGAAATCTATAACGTGTAAAATAGAAACTGGAAGAGCTGAACTAATTAGAAAAAATCGAAAAAATATAACTCCAATAATTCAAACCGTAATTTTATGTGGTAAACAAAATATTCCTCTCAGAGGACATCGAGATTCTGGGAAAATTATTGTTGAACAAGAAAATGACAGGCTTATCCAAGAAAATCAGGGAAATTTTAGAGAAATATTAAGATATAGAGCCCAAGGAGATAAACATTTAAAATCATTTTTGGAAGTTGAAGGAACAATAAAATAAACATAGAAGTTGGCATTGATACCAGTGAAGTAATTGATAATCTAAGTAAAAAGAATAGACGCCTAGATCTTATATTATAAATTTAGTTTTAAAGTTCAAAAATTGTTAATTTTACTATAATCTTTAAAATATAAAAATATAAGAAATAAAGATCATGAAATATTAAAATAGATCTTAATATCGTATCTTCACAACAATTTAAAAAGTAATTAAAAAAAAAAAGTTGGTTATCACTTATCAGTATTAAGTAATATAACATCTATATTCTATTATTAATCCTCTTTCTTAATTATAAAAAATATAAAATATCACACATATAGCCAATTATTTTATTTCCTTCATCTCTTCATTCTTTTTATTATTATAATTAATATCCTTTACTTTCTTTTTTATGACATATACTAAAGTTTCAAATTTCAAATTACTTGTCAATTCCCAATACAGTAATTTGAAAAATAGTAAGTTTTTTTACGTCAATAAACATTTTTACAATTTTCGTTTGTGAGGTTCATTAAATGTTGGACACCCCCCGAGAAATCATTCAAAATACGCCACTGCTAATATATAATATATTGCCTATAAATAATGAACAACTTAAGACAAAAAACAATTTTTTCGGGATTAATGGTATCCTTGTGTGCAAAAATTCATCTCAGAGACGTCGCAGTGATATCACTTCGAGAATTGTGATGTTACATCATAGTTGAAGTTACATTGACAAGTCGGATTATTAACCCAACTTGTGAAATCTTTGAATACGATGTTACAAAAACGAAATCTATGTGTCTCATTGTGACTTCTTTAGATAATTAAAAAGTACATGCATCGACATGTAAGGCATATAAAATTAATGTAATAAATAAGTCTCAACTATGTCACAAATGCGAATATTCTAAGTACATCGCAAATTAGATGTCACAAAGACTAATTTAAAAAATTGCAATTAATTAATTGCTGTCATACAATTGTTTATCAGTAAAGTAATAAATTTTATAAAATTTATGATAATGTAAAGTATGAATAAGCCAAGTAGATAATTAATTTGGGGAGTATATCACTAATTTGCATAACATCTATAACATCTAAAATAAATAGTAAAAAACAGTGGCGGCTCGTCGGGTGAGGCAAGTGAGGTACAATCTCACCTGCAATTTACCTTTTAATAATTTATTTATTAGTATCAATATCAATATCAAATATCTTTCAAAATATTATAATTTATTTTTATAATTAACTCAATTTGTAATCTTGAACAAAAGATAATAGGACGAAAATAGATAACATAATGTTGAGCCTGACTGGCGCTGCAACAACACAGCGAGATATAATACGGCAGTCAGTGCCGAACCCAAAGGTCTGCGCTCTCCGTTAATGATTAAAAAAAAATATAGTTTAAAAAAACTAAAAAACACGCTTTTAAAGCACATTGAACTAAAAAGTTCAAAATAATTTTTAAAATAAGCTTAAAACAATATTGAACGAAAAGACTAGAATTATTGTGATAAAAGCGT